ACACACACACACACACAAAGCAATACATTACTTTTAAATACATTTCCAAAGGGCCAAATGATTTACAAAACAGTCACAAAAAAGTTCTAGCCAATTAAAAACCTTCAAGTGTCTTTAAAAAGAAAATTTGATCAACGTTTTATTTGGTTGAGGTGAAAGTTCCAACTTCATCTGCAAATAGATACGTTGTGTTCGAATGGTGGCAAGATGCTAGTTCCAATTAGACATGATGTGGAGACTGACTAAGGGTATTAATATTACAATCTATTGCTTTCATGAAAGAACCAAATTTTTTATTAGAATAAACAAAAGCATTGAGTCTCTAAGCCTAAAAGAGAAAGGGTTCAAATAATTAATGGTGTGCCCCTGGAATTCTCTGCCACAGAAAGTGGTTGACAACAAGTGGCAAAACATTGAATGTTTTCAAGAAGGAGATGAGAGCTAAAGAGTCTAAGGGTATGGGGTGAAAGCAGGAACTAGTGAGTTAGATAATCAGTGATAATCAATGAATGGCAGGTGCAAGCTATCTGGAAGTAGCCATGCAAGTGGATAAGGTGGTAAGGAAGGCATACTGCATCCTTGCCTTCATTGGTAGGGGCATTAAGTATAAAAGTTGATAAGTCATGTTGCAGCTGTATAAAACTTTAGTTAGGCCACATTTGGATTTCTGGTCATTACATTATAGGAAGGATGTGGAGGCTTTGGACAGGGTGGCGAAGTGGTTTTCCAGGATGTTGCCTGGATTAGAGTGTATTAGCTATAAGGTGAGGTTGGACAAACTTGGAGTGTCTTCACTAGAGGGAGGCTGTGAGGCAACCTGATAGAAGTATATAAAATTATGAGAGGCATGGACAGGGTGGATAGTAGAAATCTTTCTCAAATAATAGGGACATAGGTGAGGGGGAAAGTTTAAAGGAGATGTGTAACGCAAGTTTTTTTTTAAAAGGAGGATGATACGTACTTTGAAAGTGCTGCCAGGGTAGATGGTACAAGCAGATATGATAGCAATATTTAACAGGTATTTAGACAGGTAGGCAGGGAATAGAGGGATATGGACCATGTGCAGGCAGTTGGGATTAGTTTAGAATGGTATCATGGTCAGCGCAGTGATGGTGGGCAGAAAGTCCTGTTCCTGTGCTGTTCTGTGTTAGGCTCGAAGTGCCAAATGGCCTACTCCTGTTCCTATTTTCTATGCTTCTATTGTGCTAAAATAGGAGGTAATGTGCTCATTATTGCATTCAGATCCACTTCATTTCTCAATGAATGCAAGAATTTAGGGACAGAGCCTTACAATGATCTGCACAGGATTATCATTGTTCAAAGAACTCGGTAGGTGGAGCGATGGGTTATATAGCAGTGTTTTAATAAAGTGCATTAAAAGCTGAATTATACCAATATATTTAATTACCAATAATTCATCCTAATCACACTTCATGTTTGGACGGATAAAGGCTATAACAGTACCATTGAGTTTATCGTTGGGGACAAAGTGTGGAAATTTCACCTCCCCAGCAACTTCTCACCCCCATCCCTCGAAATTTCCTTTATAAAAATCTGAATGATAGATTTCAATATATTAGAAATTAGAACAAATACAGCTTCAATTATTAATAAATACAATACAAAAATTTTAAATTCAAATGTTTAGTGCTAATTTTAATTTTTGTAAAACAAAAACAAGATTGCTTGATGCAAACAAACCAAATATAACAATTCAGCAGATTGCATCATAGAAAGATAGACAATTTGTTACTTGTATTTGTGAAAATACAGTAAAGTGTGTGCAAGTCACCACAAAAACAGTGCCATTTAGTTACATAAATTACATTAAAAAATGAGGCAAAGTTAAGACAAATGTCATTTTTGTTCAGTCCACGGCCTCCTACTTCACGAACCGGCCATCGCCGAATACTGGGGCCAGCCCACCTGCCGAGGACCAAGGCCTTCTCCAACTTCCGAGTACCGGGTCCTGTCCAACTGCTGAGGACTAGATAACCGTGATGCCACTGAATAAGTCTATTGTTATCCACTGTCCTGTATGTGGTATGGTTAGTCATGCTTGTTTGTCAGTGAATTTGAATATAAAAACTCCTGTGGGATATAATTCAGCAACATTACGAAAATAGGCAATGTAGAAGATTCATGCCGTTCTAACTCAGAGTCACAATCAGTCCCTGTGGTCCTGAGAGTGGCAATGCATTATTAATCCCTATGCTTTAATGGATGACTGTGCTGCATACTACTACTTGGAAGGCATCTTGTCAGATGACAGAAAAAGATTAGACATTATTAAGACATCCCTTTTTGTAAATTTAATCAACAGTGATTCATCTTCTTTCAAAATTCTTTCAATTGGAATTCTCACTTATTTATTTCCTCCAATTGACAAATTAATTTCTCCAAACTTGTTAAATTCCCATCCCACTCCTCCCCCACCACATAACACTATCCATTCATAGATGCCCTTACATTGCAGAGTAAGATGGTGTCACGTGTAAACTTACTTTAAATTTTACTGCTCCTGAATTGCCTGCTCCCTCTGCCCATTGGCTTAACAAAGGGAATAAACTCACTTTGTGGGGGACCTACGAAACAGAATCCTATTGAAGTAATCTCTGCGACAACATGGCAATATGTTGTCCTTCGATCCAACAAGTGAAATGTGCTACTGCAGTTTGTTAAACTATGAGAACTCCTTACTCCACACAGTTTCCTGTTATTAGATTCACAATCCATTACAAAGATGGAGAGAGTTAGATATATTTCCACACTGAAGAGGCCTTCACCAGACAACTGGACCAGAGATGGCTTGAAACACTTTGGAAAAATTCGCTCAAGTGTATTCATCAGTCTACATCGTACTGACAAAAAGACTGTCACTTTGTATCATACATCATAGATTAGTTCATCATCTAGGAAATTAACTCATTTGTAACACAGACACATTGCAACCACTTTGGTATGGTGAAAGATGTCATTTGGGTTGTCCCATAACTTTCATTGTGCTGGGCACTGACCTGTCTCACAATAATTTGCAAAATATTATGTTTACGTTTTGTGGATATTTCTAATGTGTCTGTCAGTCTCTTGAGAGTGATATGTGTCATCTAATGACTTGAGGTCCAATCTAGCCTGACAGACCAGTCAAACACCATCACATTCAGTTCTGTACACATCCTAGATTTCATGTATTCCTACATTCACATGACTCAAAATCATTTGAATAATAAGTTGTGTGAGAGAAAAGTTATCTTCAAATTCTATGTGGAAAAGATGAACATGTTGTGGTTATTTTTCGCTGTGGGTTTTGGATTTGTTTGACTCAAAAGCTAAAGCAATCTGAACCAAGGCCAGTATTCTGGTCACTGAGGATTAGGCTCCTACAGGAATGACAACTTTGTTTTTTTTAAGCTGTAAAAATTAAGTTTGATGTCTCTTTATACCTTGCACTCTTCTAATCACCCTAATACCACAACCTGTCATCGATCCCAAGACCATTGGACTATGCTCCATACCTGGTACAGGCAGCTTTGTAAGAAAACATCTGTGGTATATAGCAATCCAACCAATCCACCTGCTCTTCAGAGAACAGAGTCAAGATATATTTTGGAAAATTCCTGACCTTGAAGGAAATGTTTCATGAGGTCTAGCGAGATATGCTTCTGGTCTTGAAATCAAGGGGACAGTTTGGGAATGCACAGAACAATCTTCACAGTCTGTACTATAAGCAGGATTCCTGACTGTGGGTTGTGTATTTTAGGAAACTACTAAAGCACCAACCCCCATCTTACAGACATTAAAACTAATGGTCGGAAAACTGCACACTCTGCCCATGGATTCCAAATTGTGGGGAAATAGGAACTTTGGAAGGACCCCCAGTTATGTTTGAACTTATGTTCAGAAGGGAGAAGTTCAAATGGAGGACCATTACTTGCCCACAGTACAATGTTTCTGCAATCAAATAATTGGAAATAATAAAAGGAACAAGTTCTTGTTCAAAGCAAAAATATAAACCACATGAGCATACTGCATATTTAAAGTGAATGGCACAGAAATGTCTATTTCAAGTTGAAAAGAATTTGAAGGGTTCTGCTAAATGTAGAATGCTTTCAGGGTGTTCATGTAATTTTACATATATTATCTCTTCTGTGACTTTTCTCACAGGATAAGCAAAGGGTGATGAGCAGATAAGAACACAGATTGAATGCAACATAGTCTTGAAACGTTGAGGTTTAAAAGACAGAAGGAATGGCCCAAAGAAAATGAGGAACAAGGATAAGGACAGCTAGCCAAATTCCAAGTGGAGAGTGAGTGAGTGATTTGCAAGTTCAATAGTCCTTGCGAAGAGGAGTCCAGGAAGTGAATAGTTGGAAAGTTTTGGATGCCCAAGGGAGAGAAAGACAAACTGTAGTGTGTTAAGTGGGTTGAAAATATGTTGTTGGGCCTTACAGAAAAAGAAGAAACAACTTGCACATTGTCGGGTCTTTCACTTAGCTATTTGTCTTCCAAAGATTAGTGAGTCAATTGGTGTAGGCAGGGAACTGAAAAGGCAACTGAGGAAGAGTTCAATATTCTCATTTCCTATAAATGACTAATTTATTGTGGTATAGTGAATATCAGCCAACCTCAAAACTGGACATTAAAATTTGTTTCTCTTCACAATATCTGTTTGGTTGTTTTATGCACTAGAAACAGTGCAAAAGTTTTAAAGCAGGTGTATCAAAATCATACTGAACCAATCCAAAATAGGCAAAGAATATTAGAATTGGAAATAGACTCTGCAACTCAAAGGAGTATTTGTCAGAAAGTTGAAGGTGATTTGTAGCCTTCCACCCCCTCTTCAGTGACAGTCATTTCACAGGAATAAGTTTGAGTGGACCTTTGAAATGTTGATGGGCTAACCATGGATATGACCACATAAACAAAGAAAACTGTGTGGTAACACTGCTGCTTGCTAGGAGAAGAGGTTATTATAAAGTTATTTGCAGTAAGTTATATAAAGATCTGTGTCTCTTTTGGGACAATGCAAAATAAATTGCACAGAGCTGAAATACAAAATTTGGATGAATTTTTGGTCATGTACTTCATCTCAATCGATCAGTATTTTTGATGATTGTCAAGTTATATATCATTCATTATTATTTAATACCTAAAGTGTAGCATTCCAGAATGACCATGTTGTTTATTATTTTTCCATCGGATAATGGCAGGATCAGTTTTTGTTGCTGATACAGCAGTAGTAGAATTTCTCATTCAATGTAAATGTGGCAGATTCCTGTCAGGCCTGCTGCTAAGTCATTTTGTTGCAGTCGCAAAATCTAACACAGTATACAGATTCTAAATGTTGAGTGGAAGGATGGGGAAAATGTTACGTTACAAGTTCCCTTGGGGTGGGGTTCCTAACATTAAAACCTTTAAAACCTAGTAAATGGCCCAAATGTTTCTGCAAATAATTTGAGGTGACAAGTCAGTTTTGACATGAAAACAATCAATAAATTCTCATCACTACAGGTGCCCTAGAAAATCTGACTATTTTCTTGTTCTATGCACAAGAGCCCTGAACTTTGTGCTTATCTGACTATAGTCTACAGAGAAAAGTAATCTGTGTCTTTGTGACTATTTTATCTGCCAACACTACACTTGTCATTCATTGTAAATGAAAAACAGTGCCTTTGCTGGGTATAGCAGCAGTACTAAGCTAATCTTAGCACCTGGTTATTTGCTTAACTTGCAGATATCTTGCTTGAATTGCTGTGAAGAACACTCAAACATTAACTTATTTGGATTTTTATATAAAGGTTCTGCACTTTGCCTTATTTCAAATATATTTGAACTATAAATGGAGATCTTACTCCCAAGTCAAATAATAGACACTGAAATTTATCTGCTTCTTCATCATGAAGCTACAGCAGATGACCATTTGCACTGCATTAGCAATTTGCTGTTCTATGAAAATAAGATTATCAAATGGTAACAAATCAATCTCACACCTAAGTTAAATCTAAATATTGTAGCTGGTGAAATGGAGATGATAGTTTTTGCTGTGCAATGCAGAAATACACATCTGTCTCTCCAATCTGTACCACCATCCTGAAGCCACTGATTTAGGTCACTCCACGAGTTCTGTTCCATAACTGTCCTTCGCAATCTTCACAAATGCATTTAGACAGTAAGAGCTGGCAGATCAAGGAAAAATTAAAAAAAAAACTTTCATAGGATGTGGGCATCATGAGCAAGGTCAGCATTTGTTGTCAGTGCCCAATTACCCTTCAACAGAGGGGCTACTTGCCTCTTTCAGAGAGCACCCCACATTGCGGTCAGTCTGGAGTCACATGCAGGCCAGACAACGTAATGATTCTTTTCCTAAAGGACAAGTTTTTAATTTCAGATATATCAATTGAATTGGTGAATTGGTGATATGTGAACCTGTGTCCTCACAGCATTATCCTGGGCCACCAGATTACAAGCCCAGTGACATTACCATGATGCCACACACCCCCCAGGTCTGATCTTGGCCCTCTTCTCACAACTTCACACAAATGTACACCTTCTGCACTCATTAATTGAGTAAATATTGACTGGTTTTCTCCTCTCTTTAGGCCAGGGTGTTGAAGGCCATCTGTGGCATTGTTATCTGAACTTGATTAATGGCAACATAGAGTGAGAATCCAACCTAGTTTGCTTTGCTCTGAATGATCACTACACGTTCATTTTGCTGAACGAACAGCTTCCATCTTTAAGTATTTTTATGAACTCATTGCTCAGTCGAATGGAAAACATTTCATCATGCTTCTAAACAGTCATTTTGTAAGTCACAAAGGTACACAAGCACTATAAATGTGTTGAGGCAAATGCACAATAACAGTACAAACTTCCAAAATCAGAGTCTTCTGAAACACCAATTCTGTGATCCTGGAAATTTATATGCTGCATTACCTTAAAAAAAGGACAATGTCTTCCTTACATCTGTGCATATACCTCTTGTATGCTTATCCAAATAAATTGAAGGAAACAATCTTAAAATTAGCCCATTTGAAGCTCCTGTTAGAAGAATATGAATAGAAACCATGAAAAATAGATTTCTTTTACATACAGGAGACAAGCCAGTCTCTTCATACAGTATAGGAAGTCTCGGCTGCCAGAGGAAAATAAATCAGTCAACTCTTTGGGATCCAATATCTATCTCCTGTATGTAAGGGTTTGAGAAAAGAGTGGTCTCTTTGAGATTTGAAGAACATTCTCAACCTCTGACCATCAAGTTGACATGATTTATGATATTTTATGGTTCTTCAGAGACAGAATAAAATACCAGAATAACAGGACAAGTTGGATTCAAAGTTCTTTACATAACACAAGGATATTCTGCAGTGGAACAAAGACCTTCTAAGCTCTTATGCTTAAAACAGGACAGTGTTTAGCTTCTTAGGCTGAGGACATTTTGCATTTCTAGTAGTTCACTCGCGGCATTTGCATCCTAGATGAAAAGAAAAACAGAACTGTAATATCTGGAGACATGCAACATTTGTGTTAGAGAAGCAGGAGCCCGAGAAACTCAAAGACCATTTACATGTAGCTAGTGAGCAGGAGAAAGCAAGCAGAGGGCAAGTGGTTCCTCAGAGGCATAACAGGATTTCAGGGACAGAATACCACAAGGCAATGTTATATCATCCAACATCATCATCCCCTTCCTCACCCCACTCCTACATTGCAAGACGATTGTACGGGTAGAATGTTAGAACAACCGCAGTCAGATCTCCTGAATGACAGAAGAGATAGACAATAAGTGAAGTATGAGATGAAGGACAGGAAGTATATGAAGCATATGTATATAACATATAGTAGGTTGATAGTACATGTGAGAACCAGGCTAAGTGTAGAAAGTTCAAATGGGAGATGAACTAGGAAATAAGGAAAGAATGGGGAAATGAACGAAGAATGTAAATAAAGTAGGATGTAATGACTGTGCAATTATAATATACAATTCACAAAGAAGCTTAATTGGATCTTTCAAAATGGATCAGGGCAACTCACAAAAATGGCTCCAAAAGTCATATGATTACCCTTGAGGATTGAGCCGGCACTGAGGCAAGACTACTAATCTCAGGAAGAAATCATAAGAAACCTTGCAGAAATTCAACAAACCAATGAAACAGAAACTCTCAGACATTGGTTTCTCTGGAGGTGTGAACAGCTCAAACTAGCTCATCACAACCTGCCAATGAAAACTATCTAAATTGAAGGATAAGACAGTTAAAAACTAATTAGTTTGACAAGATGACAATAGGTGGGACTACACCCCAGGTTTAAACAACTCAACTCATAATATGGAAGCATGATGTTACAGCTTTAGGACAGCAGCCATCTTAAGTTTGATTTCTATGAAACTCTGTGAGACTCCATTTTAAAATAAAACCAGTTACATAGGAAGATGATCATGGTTTGTTGGAGGTCAGTCATCTCAGCTCCATGATATCTCTGCAGGAGTTCCTCAGAGTAGTGTGCTGGGCCAAAACATCTTCAGCTGCTTTATCAATGACTTTCCCTTCATCATAAGGTCAGAAGTGGGGATGTTCACTGATGATTGCACAATGTTCAGCACCATTTGCGACACCTCAGATACTGAAGCAGTCCATGTCCAAACGCAACAAGATCTGGACGATCTTGGGCTAACATGTGGCAAGTAACATTTGCACCATACAAATGCCAGGCAATGACCATCTCCAATAAGAAACAGTCTAACCACTGTCTCTTGACATTCAATGGTGTTACCATCACTGAATCCCCCCACTATCTTTCAACATCCTGGAGGTTATCGTTGACCAGAAACTCACCACATACACACAGTGGCTACAAGAGCAGATCAGAGGCTAGGAATATTGTGGCGAGTAACTTACCTCCTGACTCTCCAAAGCCTGTTCTCCATCTACAAGGCACAAGTCAGGAATGTGATGGAATACTTTCCACTTTGCTGATTGGGTGCAGCTCAACAATACTCGAGAAACTTGACACCATTCAAGATAAAGCAGCCCACTTGATTGGCACCACATCCACATGGATCCACACTCTGCACCATCAATGCTCAGTAACAGCAGTGTGTACTATCTACAAGATACTCTGCAGAAATTAACCAAAGATCCTCAGACAACACCTTCCAAACACAGGACCAATTCCATCTAGAAGGACAAGAGCAGCGGATACATGGGAACACCACCACTTGCAAGTTCCCCTCCAAGCCACTCACCATCCTGAGGTGGAAATATGTCACTATTCCTTCACTGCCACTGGGTTAAAATCCTGGAATTCCCTCTCTCACGGAATTGTGGGTCTACCTACAGCATGTAGACTGCAGCAGTTCAAGAAGGCAGTTCACTACTACCTTCTCAAGGGCAACTCAGAATGGGCAATACCCAGCCAGCAACACCTCGGTCCCACAAATGAATTTTAAAAAATGCCTTGCAGCAACCTACTTCTACCAGTAGATGGAGGCAAATAAAACTTGAGGTGAGTGTAATTTTAAACACAAACAGAAATTGCTGGAAAAACTCAGCAGGTGTGACAGCATCTCTGAAGAAGGGCCACTGGACCTGAAATGTTAACTTTGCTTTCTTTCCACAGATGCTGCCAGACCTGCTGAGTTTTTCCAGCAATTCCTGTTTCTGTTTCTGATTCTGAATTCCAGTATCTGCACTTGTTTGTTTTCTTTTGTTGCATATAATTTTAACATGGACTATATTAATACTGGAGGAGGGGGCTCTTATTGCACAGTGGTAGTGTCCCTACCTTTGGGCCAGGAGGATTAGGCTCACATCCCACTTGCTCCAAAGGTGCATCATAACAACTCTGAATAGGTTGTTTAGAATCTTCTTATTTATACCGGGGAGCTAGGGCCATTGTGGTATAGTAGTATAGCAGTAGTGTAACCTCTGAACCAAAAAGCCCCAGTTCAAGGCCTCCACCAAAGATGTGTAATACCATCGCTAACCAGGTTAATTAGAAAACATCTATAGTTCCATTGAATGTAGAACAATTAAAACATATTTGCTTTTGATGATATGTGGGGAATTTATTAAATGTCTGCATGGGATAACTAATAAAGTATCTCACTGCAATGTTATAAGAGTGTCACAGATTCAAGTCTTACTAGGATTTTATTAGGGCTCTTGTGGTGCAATAGTAGTGTCCCTACCTCTGAGCCAGGAGGACCTATTTATATCCCGCCTGTTCCAGTGTGTATCTGAATAGGTACATTTAAAAAAATTCCATCCTTCCTTAGTATGGAGGTCAGTCCATTTAAAGATATAATTCCACATGGTTGGCAGAACACAGAGAGGCTTATGTGTACAAATCAATGAAGGTACATGGGATCATCTATAAATGGAGGCATACAGTACAAAGCCAAATAAGTTGCACTGAAGCTTTCTAAAACCCTAGTCTGCTTGAATTTGGGCTACGTTTTCTCAGGTGGGTTTATAATTCCCTATGTCTATCTCAATTCTGAGTTGTAAACCCAGTGGCCATGGTCGGATATTAGAACTGATCTTCCAGAGGCAGCAAATTAAGGACTTGCCTCAGGGAACCCTGTTTAATTGGAGTTAGTGTGGGAAAGTCTATTCAGTGTGGCCTGTGGATCGTATAGTTAGTATCCTTTACAGTGAGGGTGCAGCTGAGAGGCGAGAAACAGGAACAGCAGTGGCACCTTTAGGCACTTTCAGGAGAAGGCAGCAGATGCTACAGCTAATTTAGCAGGGACTTCAATCCACAAGACATGGCTACAGTTGTATGCCTTCTGCTTGAAAAAAATAAGTGCACCCTGGAGCATTGCAAATACGACACCAGCAATTTAATAGATAGTCTATTATGGTTTGTGGCTCAGAACTACCACTGTGGATCTACCTAATCTCTATTTCTAGTCATCTGACACAGTAGGTGACCCCTGTACTGTAGGAAAAATTGTAATCTATTTCGACAATACGGCCTAATTATTCCATTAAATGCCCTAATTGGCTAGCTACTGCTATTAGGAGCTCACCTCTGGGAAACTGGAGGCTATAAGGACTGCAGATGCTGGAAGCCAGAATCTATAGGTGTTAGGCTAGAAAAGCACAGGAGGTCAGATAGGAAAAATTGTCATTCCTGCTCCTCTGATGCTGAGCTTATCCTCGCCTCTGGGAAAAGTGCCTGGAAGTGGAAACATGTAGCAGCACTGGCCTGATACAAGTTAATTGTATTTTCCTCATCATTCCAACTTCAAAGCTATCTATTAGGGTCTGGGAAAATTTGGCATATTGTGTTGAATTTTTCACACTGCTTATTAGTAAAAATGTTGTTATTAGTGGGAGTGTAGTAACAGTTTACAAATATAGTTAAGCGGTTAATATAGAGAAGCTGGTTTGTTCTGCTTAGAAGGTTTTAAGAGGAGATCAGGAGATATTCAAAATCATGAGGGATTATGCCCATCCCCAACTGTCCTCAAGAAGGTAGTGGTGAGCTACTTTCTCGAACTGTTGCAGTCTGAGGTGCTTTTAGGCAGGAGTTTCCAGAATTTTGACTCAGTGAGAGTGAAGTGACAGCAATTCAGTTCCAATTTAGGATGGTGAGAGACTAGGAAGGAAATTTGCAGGTTATGGTAGTCTCATGCATCCACTGCCCTTGTTCTTTTAGGTAGTAGCAGCTGCAGGTTTGGAAGGTCTGGTAATATAGGTTTTGTGATTATAAGATGAATTACCGATGATATGAGGATATTTTTACACATGTAGTTAGGATTGGTGGATGCAGATTCAATCATCTTCGAAAAAGGGAACTGCAAAATCATTTGAAAAGAAAAAGTTCTTACAATAAGGAAAGGGTGGCGGAGCAGGACTAACTGAATTGTGCTGTCAAAGAATTGACACAGATATGAAGAGACAAATGGCCTCCTGTGCTGTAACCATTCTATGGTTAATACAATAATGGATAATACAATAGATACTAGCAGTCCTTTTGTGTTGGAGAACACTTTGTGTCCTGGCCAAAAACTACTACTCAACTGGTTAATTGAATATTCAGTGGCAGTCAGTGAAAATCATAACTTGAGCTGTTTACTGTCCTCTCCCCTGTCTGCACACGTACGCACTTTCAACAAAAATCACAGGAAAGGCCTGAGGGAAGGCAATACTTGCTAAGTTTGCTTCTCTGTGGAGTACAAAAATTAGGGAGTGATTTAATTGCTGTTTTAGGATTTTGAATGGAATTGATAGAATAGATAAAGAGAAACATTTTCTGCAGATGGGGGAGTCTAGAACAAAGAGCCATAACTTTAAAATCAGAGACAAGCTGTTCCAGAGGGAGGTTAGAAAACACTTCTGCACACAAAGTGTGGAACTTCCATCCACTAAAACAGGAGGTATGCTAGGCTATAGAACCAAGGTGGGTTAGGATATGGATCAGCTGTGATCTCACTGAATGGCAGAACAGGCTTAAAGATTCAAATGGTGATCCTTTTTTATTATGTAGAAATATTATATATATATAAAATAACAGCGTGCCATTCAACAAAAGATATGGTAAGACTTTCAAAACTGGTTTCAATTGCAGAATCTTAAAAGTGAAGTTCAACATTGCAAAACTGTCAAGAAAAAATTTACAACCATATTAAGTTGGACCTGTACCGACATAACTCACTTGCAAATAGGAACTTTTGCCTAATTAAATACCATGTTTTTCTCAAAGCAAAAAAGGCTGCTAATCCTGTGCTGAATTATTCTTACCTCCTTAGATTTGATGGGTAACGCAGATGCTAATTCAAGCCAATGTAGGGCAGTGGCATAGCTCCCAAGATCCCTGTAGCACTACGAATACCAGAAAAGCTAAATTAGTTATAGTAATTTGAGTAGACTTGGTGATTGCTATAACCAAAATCATCTTCCAAAGCTCTATGAATTCTGGAATGGTTCCTGTAGATTGAAAAGCAAATATAACTCCACTTTTAAGTGAATAAGTTACATCTGTGTAAAGGTTTCAGTTTGTGAAAATTTACAAACCAGGAGTGTTTGTTAGAAATCTGCATTGGTATTTTAAGCTGTGAAAGTCTAAGATCTCAGTTTGTGAGCAGTCAAAGGAAAAGGCTTCCCAAATCAGAAAACCAGAACCGAGAAGAAACAGTTCAGTCAAACATACAGATTTGATAAGGAAGGACATTTTCTGGATTTTGATTATCTGTAAAGTGATGCTGTTGGGAAGTAGATCAGATTATATTTTGCCATGTGTTTTGAAAACTTTCAAATTGTATTATATTTAGAATGCTTGTTTTGGGATTTTATTTTTATTTCTCTTGTATGATAAACTTCTGTTTGATCATTAAAAACGTATGTGCAGCAATGCATGCTTCTGTGAAATAAAGAAGGCGTAGTAAATACATTCTGTAAAAACTCTGATGACAACCAATACTTTGTTAGAAACTGTTAAAATTGCAAGTAATTTAGTGGGTGATTAGGGTTATTTGATGAATTAATTGACTGGTTAGATAAATATAAAGGGATAACAAGTGGGATTGTTGGGTGAAAGAAACTGTAAACTTGTGAAATTATCAAACTCTACCCATACAAAAAGGTATCTAGGATCCTGCCTCACTCACTGGCTTGGATTCAAATTGACTGAAATTATTGCTGTAAACTGGATAGGATGACAAAGGTATCATCATTGCTAATGCTATGTGAGTCTCGATAGCTCTCAGTCAGCCTCTTTAACCTCGTTTACATTGAATGTCTGTACATCTTTACAATAGAGTGCAGTAATTTTATGGCTTTGACCAGTTAGCATCCCAAAACCCCTTTAGTTATCCCACTGGTAACTATACAGAAAATTGGCACTAGAATACCTTTGCAATGTAGACCGAGTTCACTTTGGAGTATTCTGGTTTCAATTCTTCAGCCTGTAAAGTATATGATAAAGATAACAATATTAGTTTACTTACAATGGCTGATAGTATATGGATTATGACTGTGAATGCTTTTGCTAATGAATTTAAGCCCCTCCCAGTTAAAAGAACAGTCAGGAAAAATAGCTGTTCCATTATTATTTAATGACCAATTGGTCATCAGTAAGATTGAGATGACATTTTTGCCCCTCAGGTCCCAGCTCAGAGAACTGAACTAGTCAGATAACCAACAGTTCTAGGATTCACAGCCGCAACATGTGGGGAGCTATGGCCATTGCTGGGTATAGACCTAGTGTAATGTGTATGAGTTATACCCAGTATAATATCCCCAGTGATGATCTTTGCTGGGACTTGACACCAAGCTAAGTGGAGGAATATCACCAGCACCAAGCTGCAGATCCCTGCAGTGTGGGGTTAGGGATAGTTGCTTTGAGAGGCTGGCAACTGGTGGTAAAGGAAAAAAAAGTCACCTTGAAGGGAATGCTTGCAATGGGGAAAGGGGTCACAAAAAGGTCACCCCTTTGTCTGATACAAGCCTGTGCAGGTGAAGCTACCAGCTTCCCATGTAGCAGTTGCTGGATTTTAGCAGATCCCCTGGCCTTCACATCTGCTGGTTGGGATGGGGAATGTGAAATCCAGCTGAACAAGTTTAGATTAATTATGTAAAAAGACGACGAACAATCAAAGCCAAGAATACACAATAGGAAGAGACCTCCATTTACTAAGTCAAAAAGCTATCTGGCCCAGCTGGAATGAAATATTTGTATCGTCAATAACTATGGGTGAGGTGCCAGATGACTGGAGAGTGGCTAATGTTGTGCCTTTGTTTAAGAAGGGGTGTAAGGAGAAATCTGGGAACTACAGACCTGTGAATCTGACTTTGGTGGTGGGTAAGTTGTTGGGAAGTGATTCTGAAAGGCAGGATTTATATGCATTTGTAGAGGCAAGAAATTATTAGGGATAGTCAGTATGGTTTTGTACGGGGGATATTGTGTCTCACAAACTTGATTGAGTTTTTTAAGAAAGTAACCAAGAAGGTTAATGAGGGCAGAGTGGTAGACATTGTTTACTTGGACTTTAGCAAAGCCCTTCACAAGATTCCCATGGTGGACTATTTAGAAAAGTTAGATCACATGGGAATCAGGGTGAGCTTGCCAGCTGGATACAAAATTGGCTTAACAGCAGGAAACAAAGTGATAGTAGAGGGTTGTTTTTCGGACTGGAGGGCTGTGACTCCATAGCGATCAGTACTGGGTCCATTTTGTTTGTCATTTATATGAATGATTTACATGAGAATAGAAAAGGCATGGTTAGTAAGTTTACAATGACAGCAAAGTTGGTGGTATAACGGAGAGTGAAGAAAGTTATCGAAGATTACAAAGAGATCTTGATCAATTGGGTCAATGGGCTGAAGAATGGCTAATGAAGTTTAATTTGGATAAATGCGAAGAATTGCATTTTGGTAAAACAAGCAAGTTAGGACTTATACAATTCAAAGTAGGCCCTTGGATAGTGTCGTAGAACAGAGACCTAGGGCTTCGTGTACATAATTCTTTGAAGTTTGTGTTACCTATAGATAGGGTGGTGAAGTAGATGTTTAGCATGCTTGCCTTCATTGCTCTGACCTTTTGAGTGGTGAGGCGTCTTCTGAACTATTGTGCACAGTTCTGGTCGCTGTGCTATAGGAAATGCATTATTAAATTGCAGAGGGTTCAGAAGAGTTTTACCAGGATGTTGCCAGAAATGGAAGATTTGAGTTATAAGGACAGACTGGATAGGCTGGGACTTTTTTCACTGGATGTTGAGGGGTGACCTTCTAGAGGTTTATAAAATCATGAGGTGCATAGATAAGGTGAATAGCGAAGATATTTTCCCTAGGGTAGGGAATTCAAAACTAGGGGACATATTTTTAAGGTTAGAGGAGAGAGTTTTAAAAAGGACATGGGGGCAACTCTTTTACACAGAGAGTGGTTCGTGTATGAAATGAACTGCAAGAGGAAGTGGTGGATGCACATTCAGTTACAACATTTAAAAGGCATTTGGATAAGTACATGAATAGGAAATGTTTGGAAGAATATGGAACAAATGCAAGCAAATGGAATTAGTTTATGGAATTGGGAACATAGTTGGCGTGGATGAGTTGGACAGAAGGTCTGTTTCTATGCTCTATTACAAGAACACAAAAAATAATCAGTACCTTTAAAGCAGAAGGAAAATATTAGCTCCTAGGATTACAGAAATTATCTTGAATGGCCAATAATGCTCATTTTTGGATGAGACATCTATAATTTTTAATGTTTTTGATAATTATTCATGTTCGCCCCCATTATTGCAGTACAATATAGAAACACCGACATTTAGTTCAAACTAGACTTCACCTTTAAAAAGTTTTTTAGAGCCTCATCAACAGTGGAACTTGGAGGTGTTCCATAGAAAGTTGCAGCTGCCTTCCTTTCGATCCAACTTAATTGCGCTACCTGCAAAAGAAAATTCAAGTGCCTTGTAAAATTTTATAAAGTGATATACGTTTACCATATAAACACTTATTTTACAAAGGTCTTTGTGGCATACTTAAAACGAAACTGAACATCTTTGGAATTGATACAAGAGATAGTATTGCTGTAAACTGAATGCAGCCTTTTATGTACAGTACTAAGATTTTTAAAACTCTAGTACATGCCTCCAAGGTAACAGGCATACTTTTACATTCTGCATGACCAAAGACATAGGTGCTAAAGGCCTCAGGGCTAAAATAGTGTGTGCTAGGGGTCCTTCAAGTGAACATTTCTATACTTTACTCTTTGCACTTTTGTCGTGTTCTTTAATTATCACCTAATTCGTAAACTTCTGCATATTACTTACACTGACCTACCTTGGCTTCTGGCAGTGGCGTGCTTTTGTTTTAAAATTCACATCCTTGCTCCTCCCTCACCTCTAGCCTTCTCCAGCCCTAAAGCCCTCTGAGATGTCTGTGCTTTCCAAATGTGGCTTCTTTGCATTCCCAATTTCCATTACTCCATCTTTGGCGGGTGTGCCTTCAGATGCCTTGGCTTTAAGTTCTTTAATTTTCTCCCTAAACTACTCAGCTTCCCTACGTGTCTTCTCTTTAGATGCTCCCTAAAACCTACCACTTTTACCAAGCTTTTGGCCACCTGACCTAATGTGGCTTGGTGTGGCTTGGTGTCAAATTTGGTTTGGAATGCTTCTGAACTGCCTCCTCATATATTTTACAACATTGCACAATTCCAAATATATCAGTTATTATTACGTGGAGCAACTGAAGAAAATAAACGTTCTAACTTATAATACCAGTTTCTTGTTTTTATTTGTTTTGTTTCTTAACTTTCTTAAAAAAGTAACATTTCATCTGCCTACTACTTTGTGTACTGACCAACCCAGATTGGGGAGACAGTAAATTATTCCTGACCCTTTGATATGTTAATTGTCAAATAGAAGTAACTGAAAAACATCAAATTAGAGCTCAGATGACAAAACTGGAGTCAGTGTCCCAGACTTTGCATTATAATGACTGAAACTATCAGCATCTGCCATCACAGCTTAATAACTCCAACTCACTGTGAGCAATGCATTTTCGATAAGCAGGTTGGCTAAAAATGCTTTATTTGTGGAACTCTTAAATACAATATAACCAATGTTTCCATGTTGCGACATTCCTCACTAGCACGGAGGTTGAAATATAAATCTCAAATCAACACAATATCATTGACAAGTCTAGCAGATTTCCTGAAGGGGTAGTGTCACAAAGCTTGGGGTTGACATTACCTGGAGGATAAGTCCAATGTAATGTGAAACTGCATTTAAATTGTGCCCAAAGTTTCCCTTTGACTTCCCTTATGTGTAGACATGAAGTGAATCAAAATATTGCTATTGCATTGCTATTCCATACTGTCTATATGGTAACATTTTAATTGTGAGGATAGGAGCCCAGTGAACACATGAAATTACATGTGGACAGGAGAGTAGTAGTTTATGGCAGGCAATGTAAACAAATACTATGTCAGTTCAGACTGTCACAGCTCAAATCCAAGAAGACCACATTGGAAGAGTGCTGCTGAGTGAGGCAAGGAAGGAGAATAGCAGGGGCATTAGCAATAAATTTCAATTCCTCCCCAGAGACTAGAGGACAGCAATGTGGTACTGTTATTCATGAAGGTTGCAACAGCTGAATCAGGAAACCTCAGGCCAGTCACTCTAACCTCAGTGGTGGGGAAATTATTGGCAACCATTCTAAGGGTCAGAATTAATCTGCACTTGGAGATGCAGGAATTAATCAAGACTAGTCAGCACGGTTTGTTAAGTGAAGTTCATTTCTGCTCAACTTGATTGAATTTTTCAAAGAGGTAACCAGATGTGTACATGAGGGCATGCATTCACTGTAGTTTACTGGACTTCAGCAAGTCTTTTGAGAAAGTCCCACATGAGAAACTGACAGCGAAGGTAATAGCCAAAGGGATCCAAGCAATTTTGGTAAATTGGATCCACAGTTGGCTGAGTGGCAAGATGCAGAGGGTGATGGTTGAAGTGTTTTCGTTTCTGTTAGTCTGTCCAGTGTTGGAGTTCTTGCTGTTTGTGGGATATATAAAGAATTCAGACTTGAATGTCGAAAGGTTGATCAGTAAGTTCGTGGATGATAAGCAAATTGGTGGGATGGTAAATAGTAAGGAGGATAGCTTTACATTTCAGGAGGATATACATGGTCAAGACAAATAAGGCAAGGGACTACATGTGGAATGAACTTCCTGAGGAAGTGGTGGATGCCGGTACAATTACAATATTTAAAAGACATTTGGATAGATACACAAATAGGAAAAGTTTGAAGGGATATGGGGCAGGAGCAGGCAGGTGGGACTACTTTAGTTTGGGATTATGTTTGGCATGGACTGGTTGGACCAAACGGTCTGTTTTCCATGTTGTATGATTCTAGATGAATGGTAGGACTCTCTTCACAAAGAGATTCAAAGTCTCATAGCCTGCACAAGGGCATGGAGCTGATGTCCTCGCAGCTTGAACTGTAGGGTTTACCAACGTTTGAAACTGCCTTTCTAAGTTGCTGTTGGAAGTGGGGATGGTGGTTGGGGGGTGGGGGGTGGGGGGAGGAGAGAGGAGAAGGGAGGGAGGGTGTCAGTTAACTTACCACCTCCTTTGGTATTTGGGGGCATGATTTGTACTGCATACATAGGAATAAGTTTTCCTATGTCAAAGATCCATGTATAGGCGATCTACGTTCAATCTGGAGGATTGTGCTACATGGTTATTTGTGTGTGATGTGAATGCTTATTGGTCACGTTACAAAGGAACTATTCTGCTCCTGATTTTCCCCACACAGGTTCACTGGAGCTATGACTAATGGATCCAGCCACTGCAGGGATTATTGCCACTGTGATTCTGTTGCAATGATTGTGCAGGGAAATTGGGATGAAACAGATGCTTAGCAGATCCAGGACCAGCAGCAACCTCCAGCAGCTGTGGAACAGTCTCCACATGAAGTAGTCACAACTGAGGGTACCCAAAGGATGTGGTGGAGGTGCAGCATTCATCATCCTTGATGCCATTTCCTCCAGATAAGTACAGTACATGCCCTAGGACACTATCATAGAACTATGCTAACTCCTGGAGTGAGGCTAGTGACTGAAGTGGATGGGTGACCATCCTCTTCTAGTGGCCATCATAGTGACAGCTGCATTAACTTTTCTTGCAACTAGCTGCTTCCAAAGATCCACCAACCACCTGTGTGGGCTCTCTCACCCCTCTACTAAAAACGTATAACAGCTGTTATGGCTGCAGTTTGAGCCAGATCACATTGCTCAATCTTGTTTCTCCACGAAGTCAGTGCTGCAGCCAGTGTGTAAGCCATCCAGTATGTAATGCTCCCAAAACAAGCAATGAGAACATTTTGTGCAACACTAGACATTAGGGAAAGAGTAGGACTCCTTTAGTCAAGGCTCCAACATGGCACGGTGGTCAGGATGGTTAGACTGTGTAGCTTGATTCTTGTAACTCCAGTTCCAATGACAGTCAATCATTAGCAATGAACTTATGAATGTGATCTTGTATTTCAATGGAGTCTAACTTGTGCCACCGTTATGCCCTCAACAGCCTTTTTATTTCATTTCCTTCCACTAGACATATTGTGAAGGGCAATTCCTAGCTAACAGCACTTGACCTGCTGCATAGCTTATTTCTAAATATGATGCCTGCATCATAAATCCTGGAAAGTCCCAGCAGTAGCAAGTACTTCCACCAGTGGTGAGCGCAAGATAGCATGTGCTCAAAGCCATTGAGGAGTGGTACATGTATTATGATGTGAGCAGCACAAAATTGCGTGAGACAACTTGCCAGAGCTCATGAAGATAAACTCTTCATGAAACTCTCTGAAATTGACACTTAGTTGAATTTTGGTAATTCATCTGGAGTTGGTAAAATTAAACTTACTATGTCTCCAAGTCTTACTGTTGGTTGCCAGGGTACATGGAGAACATTTTTGCTCCTGACTTAAATGAAATCCGTTTTGGGGTAATTTCCATGCTTTGAATTTTTTTATTGGTTTCTTGCTGATTTGCCTTGATAAAAGCTATGCTTAAAAAAAACAAAAAATATATTCATACATCTAATGTGTGTGAGTGCAATGACACTTAAACGCTTTTTAAATGTCCATTAAGTTGCCCTTGTGACGTGCAATAAAAATGAGGCAGATCAATTAAGCAATAAAACCTGACAGATCAAAGCTCTTATTAAATAAAGTTAGAGAGCTCTATAATATTGCACTTGGCTGGAATGCAACTTATTCCATTAGTATTTCATATTATGTCATTCTAATGCATGACAAGTTTTGATGCCAAGAAACTTAACTCACTGCTTTGCATAATTGTGATCTCTGATCAGAACGAAATGACTGTGTTAATGATTTTTGAGTAATGGTGCTTTGTGATGGCAATTAAGAGATGCTTTTATTTTATCCAAACCCTTAAATGAACTTTCATTTCTAAAGATTGATGATACAAGCACTTCTTCAGTAAAATCAGATACAACAAATAAATTACATCAATTGCTCAGAAAAATGTACATACGCACATCCTTAGCCTTATTCTTAACTCAGTTGTGGTTGGAGTTCAAATCCATGAATCCTATATACCAGTCAGTGCTGCACAAACTTTGTGTTCATGAATACAAGTAGTAAATATTGGAAGGATATTTTGGTTGTTAAAGACCCTGCCACCAAGTCCAATGCTGTCTAACTAATTCCAAAGACAAGTCATATTGGACTTAAAATATTGTCTCCATTTTTCTCTGTATAGATGCTGAACTTGTTGAGTTTCTCCAACTCGGTTTTACAATTGGGTTCAAATGAATTTCTTGAACAGTATAAACAGCGTAGGGGCATTCTTAACAGAGAGATCAGGAAGGCAAAAACAGGATAGCCTTGGCAAATAAAATTAAGGATAATCCAAAGAGATTCTTACTAAGA